GGGGCCTGAACTCTGGGCCTGGGCACTGTCCCTCAGCTCTTCAGCTCAAGGCTAGTGCTCTACCACTTGAGCCACAGCGCTACTTCCGGCTTTTTTCTTTTTGCTTATGTGGTGCTGAGGAGCCGAACTCAGGGCCTCAGGCATCCAAGGCAAGTGCTCTACCACTGAGCCACCTTCCCTGCCCAAGGCTCTTATCTTCAATAAGCTACCAAAAAAGCTGGGGGTGGGACTATACAACTGTAGCTCAAGTAGTAAAGTACTTTGAGTAAGAGAGTTTTAGGGTCAGTAACCAGGCTAAGTTCAACCCCAGGACTGCAAAAAATAATAAAATAAAATGTGAATAACAGATTTATCCATGATAGCTGGTAATGAATAAAATGAAACTGTCCCAATTTATTAACTTTTGTTTGGCAATTACATATTTACATGGTTCCAAGTGAAGGTCACGTTAACAATTAGTAAAAGAAATCAAGCTTTCCTCTATATCCTCTACTTCCCCAAGTAGACCTCTTCCAATGGTTTTCTAGCTTTCCATTTTATAGGCAAATACACGTGTGGCATCCTACGATACAATACTATGAGTGTGTTAGGGTTTGAGGCCATGCATTCCAAGCATGTACTGTACCATCAGCAACAGCTTGGTACAGTGTGGTGTAGTACTGCTACTGTAAGCAGCTCCGCCTCTCCCTTGCAGCTGCATAATACACCAGGGTGTATTTACCAGTTCATTCAACTAATCCCTTTCACTGATGGGTAAGAATTGTTTTCAGTCTGTTTTGCCAAATAGGGCTGAGGTATCAGTGTGTATTTTTTTCTATTTCTGCCAGTATAACCAGGTACTTTATTTCTGTTGTCCCTTAACAGTGTCCCTGTGTCTTAAACCAGAAGACCTACAGAAACAACTGCTTTAATGCACAGCAGAAAGCTAGTTAAGAACACATTACAGAGTAAGCCTTTAAAGTAGATAGCCTCCTGACTCTTATTTTTCCTCCCACCATACCTTGATACAGCCTTTGAAAAAATTACTCTGCCAAGGAAAACAACAAATAAACAAGGAGAATAGTTTTATTTCCTCTGAGCCATCTGCAAAACACTTAGGACCAACATTAAAAAAAAAAACACAAAAAAGCCTCCTTTAAAAAATGTACATTAAAAAGGGAGAGAGAGGCAGAAGCTAAACGATTAGTATATTAGCCCCACGGAGCTATCACAATTCTGACTGGTCCAAGATATGGAAAGGATGTAGGGCAGATACAAAAAGAGGAAGGAGAATTTACTGAGGGAGAGGACCCCGAAGTGGGCCGCGAGGGGGAACTGGAGGCCGAGGAGTGGGTCTGGGTGGAGGGAGGGGCCCCCGCTGGTAGCCATAGGGTGGGGGTCGAGGCGGGCCAGTGTAACCATGGGGAGGCATCAGTGGAGGGGGCCCACGCATACCATGTGGAGGCATAGGACCGGGGTGACCTGCAAGAAAGAAAAAATTGGTAAAAGTGAGAAATTGGAAATGGTTGATATTGGGAGACGTGTAGAAGACAAGAGAAAAAAAGTTGAAGGCAGCATGGGACAAAGGGTATTAAAAAGAAAGCTGTAGGAATGCGAGGCAGGACGGAGCGAACATCGGTAATGCCAGCACCTGGGAAGCTCAGGCGGAGGAGTGCTGAGCTCCAGATCAGCCTAAGCTACCTAGCGGCCAACCTGGGTTACACAGAAGAGAGCAGGGGAGAGGGAGAAAGGAGGAGACAAGAAGGGGAGGAAAAGGACAATGTGAGGATAAAGGAGACGGCTAGAACCTACTCACCCATGGGAGATCCAAACGGAGGCCCTCGGGGGGGCATGCCCATTGGGGGAGGTCCAGGATGAGGCATTCCAGGTGGTGGGCGGGGTGGAGGCTGCCCCCCAGAGCCTGGAGGCCCAGCATGGGGGTGTCCTAAGCCATGAGGGCCATGGTGGGCCAGCTGCATCTGAGACATCCCTGTGAAAATAAAAATGATACAAGAAAAAGGGGGTGGTAGGTAGACAGGATAACAAAGAAAAGGAAGACAGTAAAGGTATATGGAAAATAAGGCAGGCAAAAGCACTCTATCCCTGATCCCATCCCAACAGCAA